TTCACCACCACTGAGTGACCTCACCTCTCCGTCCTGCTGTTCCTCTAACCAGCATGAAAAGACAGGCAGAAGGTGTGCCATTCTTGCTTTCTACTTGTGCATTAGCATCATGTATCTCCCCCAAAGTACCAACATAATGGCCGCTCTGTTTTGGCTAGCAATCTACTAAGTGGCGCTCTGTGACCTACTTGAGGGTTCTGACTCATGAGCTGAAAACTGCTGGTCTAAATGGACAGGTACGTTTGGTTAGGCCATGAAGCAGGGCTCCTAGGCAAAAATTTACTCTGAGGGGCCCGCACATTTTTGGTCCCCTTCACATTCAGAAGAACACAAACAAGGCATTTGATTAGAACAGGTGTGTTACCCCTATCCCCCCAAATTATCTTGCCTGGATTCTTGAACCCCAGTGTGACTCAGGCCTCTGACATTTTGTATGCCCTCATCCCTCCACCTATTGGTAGCCCTGGTGGATCTTAATTGTGTGACACCTTCCCCAAGAAGACCCACCTGAAACTGTCTCTGCCTATACTTTTTAAAAACTTGCAAGACAACTCACATGTACATGAAAATGCCTTCTACTGAATCAGACCCTTGATCAAGGTCACTGTCGTATACTCAGACTGGCAGTGGGTCTCCAGGGTCTCAGGCAGAGGTCTTTCGCATCATCTACCACCTGGTCTTTTTAAACTAGAGAGCCTGATGATTGAACCTGGGACCTTTTCCATGACCAGATGCTCTACCACTGAGCCACAGCTCCTCCCTAAATTCCTTTCCAGGAAGGATTTTTTTGTTGTTGAAATTAGACTAACAATACAGCATCTTGTTTTTAGCTGTGACATACACCGTGTTATCAGACTTTCACTTTATGAATGATTGTATAACAACAGCATTTTAATTTTATAAGAGGATTGATTCACATTTTAAAAAACCTGATGACATTTCTTCACTACTAGATAACAAATGTAGGGTTTCGTGCTCAGATCCATCGATCTCATCTGGAAGTACCAGATCAAGAATAATCCCTGAAGACCTCTTAAATACAACATGGCAGTTTGTAACTTCAGTATGTTTTCCTTTAAAAGGTGCAAATAACCGATTGCTTAAAAGTCATTTCGATGTATATTATTCCTATGTTATTATTGTTTTAATCCTTATATCAGAATTGTACTGTTTTACTGGCTCTTGCTGTAATAAATTAGATCGACTACAGGTATATCAAAAGTACAGTGTTAAAAATTTAGAATACTGGATGTAACAGTATTTCCAGCTGCTTACCTCAGATGGTAAAAGAGTGACTGGGACCCTTTCATCCTCATGCATACGCCTTGATTCCTTCTGCCAGTACAGGTAGTCAACAAGAGATCTGTGATCAAAATTTCCTGTAGGGGTTTTTTCAGTCTGATCTCGCTGTATCATTCCAACTGGCACTTGAGGGTCTGGAGCCATGACATCCATTTCACTCTGTAGTTCCCTCAGTTCTTCAGGGGACAGGTTTGCTAAGATTTCATCTTCGTCTAGGTCTTCAGAATAGATTTCTTCTTGATCAGAGTTTTGGCTGAATTCAGACATTTTCTTTCGGTGTTTTTTCAAAGTACCTAAAGAAAGAAATTAAAAACAAAAACACCAACAACCAGAACTGGTGAACATAAGAGTTATTTCTACAGTTCTATGAAATTCGCAACAGCCATATGTGCTTTTTTGTCAGAACTTATAACCTAACTCGATTCTAGAAGATACTCGTGTAAGAGTGAGTGAGACTGAAGCATATGCTAAATCTATATTAAGCCGCTCTTGGCTAGATAAAGAGAATTTATGGAGATGCTGCCATGTTCTGTTTTCAGTTGCTTGAGTCAGCTGTGTAAACCCGTCTGACATTTCAGTACAGCTGCTACTCTGTAGTGTCTTCGTGACAACTTTTGAGAGGATTCCCCTAGAGATATGCATCTTGATGGCTGATTATATATAGAAAATATTTATATTATCGACGTAAATGTGACCTGCACTTGACTCCTGCACCTCTTCTGTGTAGTTTGCATTCATGTTTTGTGCTGGTGACTTGATACACCAATCAGTTTCAGCCTCTGAAGGTAGCCTTTAACAGAAGTTTGGAAAACGATTGATTTATGAGAGAGATATTAAATGGCATTAGCAAACATCACTCTATTTATTGTTACTAGTCTTGGGCAATGCCCTCTGGGAACTCTTTGGTTACTGCCATTTTGTATTAATAAATCAAAAGGGGCCAAGGCAACCACTGAAACAACGTCTGGCCATCAGCCAGTTGTAAAAGACAAAAATTGTTAATGATTAGTTAGTTGGATTAGTTAGTTAGTTATTAGTTAGTTGGATTCTATGAAACAGTTCTGCTCACTGTGTTGTTTTCCTTCAGCACAAGGAGATGTCCACTAGTGTAAGAGCCTCTTCCACTGGGCATGGATAGCAGACAAGACCCTCAGGACCCTACCCAAAGGAACTGGAACTCTTATTGGCCTAACTAACTTTCCCTTGAAAACTCAGCCTTTTACACAAGATTGACAACTGATTTTAACACTTAAAAGATTGATCTGGGTATTTACTTATGGCTGCAAAACTTTTAGCTTTAAAATGAAAACATTTCATCATGCTAATGAAATTCTAGTGGTATGAAAGAATGTGGGACTCGTTTGCAAAGAGATTGTAAATACATTAAAGCAACCAATGACATAGCAAGTCCAGATGACCTTCCTTCCTTCCTTCCTTCCTTCCTTCCTTCCTTCCTTCCTTCCTTCCTTCCTTCCTAGTTCCCTGCCTATGTATTTCTTATAATGTCTACATGTGCCTCCAGTTTTTTCCAACATTTACCTCACACCAAACCCCACCCCTTGTGTGAAGATTTTGGCTTTCCCCCCAATGAAAATAAAGCCTAAGGCTGTGGTCACACACACTAAATAATCCACTTTCAATCCCCTTTCATTGCACTTTCCAACTGCATTTTACTGTGTGAACTGGCAAAATCCCGTTGAAAAGTGCACTGAAAGCGGATTGAAAGTGGATTATTTAGTGTGTGTGACTGCAGCCTTAAGTCCATGTAAATTGCATTTGCTTGCATTTATCTGTCATTCCTTCTCCCTTCCATTTGTTCTCCATTCCTCTCCCCTTTCTTCTGCACGCATATATGATCAGCATTTAGGTTGTAGGTATCTTGGAGAAGAAAGTTGTTTGGTGAAGCATTTATTTCCAGCTTCTTGCCTGGGGGGAGTAATTCCCTCCCGCCCACCGGCGAGCCAGTGGTGGAGAGGAGCTCCAAGAAACCAGGGGACCCCCGCCCCCACCGTGAGGTCTGGCATCCCTAGTTTGAATCTCAGTCCATACAAGACTGAGGTACTGATCTTTTCTTCATAAACAGCGGAGATAAAAGGATTTATGACTTTGGGGATTGAAAGGATTGAACTATGATGAAAATATGCCTGTAACTTATACTGCCATTCCAATATAACAAAATTCTAAAAGAAAAGCTTTCTGGCACCCTATTAATTATGTTGGACAATATCCTCATGTAAGACTGTCTCCCCTTTTGGCTGGCTGGGCCTACACAGTACATTAGCTCTGTCTTGGGCCGGGCTTAGACTTGCCAAGTTCCCCCTGGGGGTGGGGAAAACCCCGCCCCAGAGGCCCATTCCCCGCCGCCGCTGGATCGTGCCCCGGGGGGAACTCCGCCCCGATGTGCACGTCACCAGGAAGTGACGTGACGCCGCTGGGCACGCTGGGGGCAGGGCCACGGTAATCCGAGGGAAAACTCTATGGTTTTCCCTCGGATGGTCGTGGCCCCACCCCAGCATGCCCGGCGTCGTCACATCACTTCCTGGTGACGTGGATGCGGCGCGCGCGCACACTCCGTGATCGGCCCGGGAGTCCCCTGCTGCGGAGGAAGGTAACACTTGGCAACCCTAGCCAGGCTCTTAGTCCTGACTGTTGCACCCCCACTGAAGGGCAATATATGACACATTGATGACAACCAGGGATTGAAAAGTTGCTTGTACTGGATGAATTTGCGCTTCTCCAGAAAAAAAGCAGATGTGCATCTTGGGGTATTAGATATTTGCTCACACAATGAGGCTCAGGTTTCTCCTGTGGCGTGTAGTGGTTTTGTTCTACATTGGTTGGTGTACCAGCTGTAGCTATTCCTGGAGAGGCAGGATCTGGCTACAGTTATCCACATACTGATCTCAACCAGATTGGATTACTGCAGTACAGTCTCTGTGGGACTTGCCTCGGATGACTATTCAAAAGCTTCGACTGGTGCAAGATTGCTGATGCGTTCTAGTTACTGGAACACATCTCAACAGTCTGAGAAGAGCCACACTGGTTCTTATTTGCTTCTGGGCACAATTCAAAGAGCTGGTTATTACATTTAAATGCTTCCATGGTCCCGGTCACACGAGCAGGATGATCCGCTGCCGAAGGGAGGCAAATTAGAGCCGGAGCAAAAAGAACCGCAGGAGCGCGATCTGACATGCCCCCGCAGCTCCATGCTCCGGCAGCCAATCAGACGTTGTGCAGCAACCCGGCAGTAGCGCGGTTGTGCGCATGCGTGGGACGGGGAACGGTGCTGGCTGCGACGGGCTACCAGCGCTTCCCCGACCAGACGCCTGGAGTTGCCGCGCATCATCCGGAAGGTAGTGCTCTGTTGCTAGTACCTTTTAAATGCACGTTTTCAGGCCAAAGGGACGGATCGGGGATGGGTGCGTGATGCTTCCCAGATGTTGTGGTGTGATCGCGCCCGCTTGATGCGCCCCCGATCCGTCCCTCTTGCGGGGCAAATCCTCCTGTGTGACTGGGGCCCATGACACTTAAATGATGGTTTGCTGCCATGTAAGTACATCTCTTAATATATTGCCTGACTGGTGTTTTTCCTTTCTGACCAGTTACGGAGTGTGAATTTATCCCTATAATGGAGGACAGCAGAAAGGTTGGTTTTTAATGTTTTTAAAGCATTTATTGTTTCATGCATGACTGGAATGAATCAGATCACTTCAGGTGAAACTGGAAAGTCCCCTTCAGTCTCACTTGAAGGGATCTGAATCATTCTGATCATCAGGAAGACAGATGAGAGCGGGGGTGGCTGGCTTCTACAATGCCTTCATTTGGGCTGCTGACTTGACCTTTGCCCCTCCTTTCTCCTCCTTCCTACTACGAGGCATGGTGGGAGATATATGTAAAGGTGTTAACTTACCTGAAGTTTTGCCTTCCTGCAAGTAGCCTTGATAGTCCACATTTGTTATGTTCTCCTAACAAAAGGCTTCCCTACAGATTTCATGCGAAAGTTTGTATGAACCCCAAAGCCCCCCTCCCCAGGAAAAACTCCAGGGTGGCAATTTAGAACAGCGAAATGGCAGAGTGGAGGGGGTGCTGAACCTTTCTCAGCTTCCTGCCTCTGTGCTTCAAACTGTCTCCCCAACCTGCTTTTCAAACAGGCATGTGTTCTTGTAAAAAGTGGCTTTTGCCCAGAGGAGGACAAATGGGGATCGACTAAGCAGTCTCATTCCTTCCACTAAGAGAGTTTCAGTGGCTAGCTGTGTTGGTTTGTGTTGTGTCTTGCCATTAACTTGTAATGTTAAGCTTGAAACCTCAGCCGGATTGTAATCTGGAACAACACCACTGGCTGAAGCAATGTCTGTAACCAATGAAATGGAAAGACTCTGTGCTGGAGGGCAGACAAATGATTGGTTGTTATCTGTGTAACATGATTGGATGTTAACTGTGTGAGGGCGTGGTTACCCCAGCCCGGGAGAGTTTAAAAGGAGCTATGCTCCACTGTTGTTTCTGTGTGTGGAGTCCTTGTGTCGTCTGATGCAGTGTGATCTTTGGAAGTTCTCGTTCTCAATGAAGCTGATTCACTTGTTACTTACCTTGTTGTTGAGTTGCATACTTAACCGTTTGTAGTCAAACAGCTAGATCTGAGTCCAGTAGCACCTTAGAAACCAACAAGATTTTCAGGGTCCAAGCTTTTGAGACTCAGAGCTCCCTTGACTCTCAGAATCCTATACTCTGAAAATCTTGTTGGTCTCTATGGTGCTTCTGCACTGGAATCTAGCCATTCCTTCCACTGTTTTTCTGCCCCAAATTGTCCCTCCCAAAGCAGATTTCTTGGTGAGGGAGGCCATTAAGGTCGATTACAAACATTTGCCAATACCATGTGGTTAGACTTCTTTCCTGGAAGAAAAGGGGGGGGGGAACTCAACCCAGGGTATGACTACGAACCAAATAGGGCTAAGCTAAACCATATATATGAAAAAGTACAAATATTTATTAAGGTGTACACGTGTTAAAACGTTCCTGATTAAAAATTGCTTTGTCTAAAATCAGATCTAAAATCTATAGATAATAGTGACCACTGAGGAAGGCCCTTAGGGGCCGAAACACGTATGGTCTTTGGTTGTAAAGTTTTAACCCATCATTTGTATGTAAAGTGGACAAGCTTTTACAGTCTGATTTTAGACAAAGCAATTTTTAATCAGGAAAGTTTTAACACGTGTACACCTTAATAAATATTTGTACTTTTTCATATATATGGTTTAGCTTAGCCCTATTTGGTTCGTAGACTTCTTTCCTCCCATTAATCTCAATTATTGTTCTGATACTATATTGTGTTTACTGTTTTTTTATAACCCTTGCAATACATTTTTCTTTCTGTTCTGTGCTAAAGACTTTGACCTTCAGGTTGAATCAGAAAACTTTTTCAGAGACATTGATGTGAATTTAAAAAAGAAAGATTTTCCTTACAGGAGGACCAAGCAACTAATCTGGTCCAGACGGTTGCTAGGGCAGTTCCTGTTTGTTGTTGTTGCAGAATTTTCAGCTGGAATGCCAGAGAGGAGGTCAGATGTTAAATGTCTAATGACACCTAGCCGTGCCCTTCAGATATTCAAACAAGATTCACAAGGGGGAAAGGCTAGCCAGTGGAGCTCATAAACAGTCACTGAACTATGAAAGGCTTTCCCCAATAGTTCCCCAGATGTAACTATCACCATTTTATAGTTGTTGCCAGGCCTAGGCTGGAACTGCCACTTCCACTATAAAATTTACACTTCTACAGTGGCAATTGCAACTTGTTTGTCAATCCAGTCTCAGAATGTTATTAGAGCTCAGGTTCGTCATGTTTGCTTGGATGAATTTAGTTACCCAGGGTACAGGCACGTTGCTTGGAAGTGTAGCATAGCTAGATACTTGCCCATCTTCTCTTGTGACAGTGTGCCAGTGCGTGGTTGTCTTCATTAATGCTAACCAACTTGAAGGAGGTAGTTCTGAACTACTCCTAAAGAAGCCATCCCTGGACCCAGAGCATTTTAGTAACTACCAATAAGCAGTAAAGCCTTGGCCATACAATTTCATAGATTCTTTGATGAGACAGATTATATGAACCCATTTCAGTCTGACTTCTGGCCTGGTTTTTGGACAGAAATTACCTTGTAACACAGACAGATGATCACCAGGAAACAGAGAGTGGGTATATGACCCTGTTGATTCTCCTGGACCTTTTGATGGTTTACTTAGAGCTTTAGTGGTTAATTTGTGTTCTTTAGAACCTTGTGACCTTGCTGAATTTAATGTTTTTATAGTTGTACTAGGAAAAAGGCCCGTTGTGGAAATAAATACAACGGCCTCTAGAAAGAGGCTCTGGGCGGGTGCCCCGGCCTTGGACACTCTGTGTCAATTTGTTGTGGTGACCTCAGCAGGGTATAATGACACTGAGTCCACCATTTTCTCCAGAGGAACTGATCTCTGCTACCTAAAGAACAGTTGTAATTTTGAGTGATCTCCAGCCCTCACCTGGAGATTGGCAATGATGGTGTCCCAGAAGGGAATAGTTGGTTTGGAGGATGGAATCTATGGCTTTGTACCTGTCTAAGGTCCCACGCCTCCTGAAACCTCACCCTCTCCAGGCTCTATCCCTCACATCTCCAGGAATTTCCCACCTTGAGTTGGCAACCCTATTTCCTTCCCAGCCAATCATCAACCTTCCTTTATTTTCCCCTCACTCTTCAGCTTTCCACCCCCCACACACCTGCAGCCTCTCCCGTGCTTTGAAGCCCTGACTGCTACGTCACATTGGCTGTCATATGGGGGCCACCTCAGCAGCATATAAGGATACAGAGCCCACTATTTTCTCCAGGGGAACTGATCTCTGCCATCTGGAAAGCAGTTGTAATTCTGAGTGATCTCCAGCCCTCACCTGGAGATTGGACAGATTTTACCTCAGAACAGCAAACTGTTTAGAATGTTAGAGGCAAAAGCCAATCATATGCATATACATATGCAAACGACCTCTGTGTTCCAAGGCAAAGGCCAATGAGGCTGCATATGCAAATAACCTCTGTGTTCTGACTGGCTATGAGGGGGAGATGAACAGCAAACTGTTTAGAATGTTGGAGGCGAGACTCAAGCAATGCAGCCAGTGGATAGGGACAGATTCTGAGTGCCACACCAGGGCACCAACCAATTCCGGAGCGTGTGGAATGTTCTAGAGAAGTGCCACCACCATTCGTCTGTTATTTATAAGGGAGATTTCAGTTGCTTGTAACAGCCTGTATAGCCCAGCTTGGTATGGGCTTATCACAGTTTGGGCGCTAAGTAGGATGGGAGACCACTAAGGAAGACAGGGATTGCTATGCAGAGGAAAGCTGTGGCAAACCACCTCTGATCATCTCTTGCCTGAAATGCCCAGTGGATCATTGTGACTCAACACATTTATCTGTCTTCTTAAATTGCTTGTAGATACTGTTTTTATTCTGCTGGTTTTACCAATGTTCACCAAGGTTTTAAGACTGGCTATGATGCCTCACACATTTTTAAAGAAGAGAAGGTCAATAAATATTTTAAATAAAATCACACCCAGAAGATTCTGCAACATGCCAAAAATTAGTCCTGTTCCTGATTTACCTTACCACACAAACTGCAGAAGAGAATTTTTAAAAATCACTTCTTTCTGTCAGGACAAATACTTGGGCCAGTGTGTTCTTTTCTTCTTCTTTTTGGTTTATTTAATCTGTGAGGGAGAAAATGGGATTAGCCAATATCCAACATTTTTAGGAAAAACAAAATCACTTGAAAGTATTACAAAATACAGGGCTATAGCAGGGTGTACACATGCATGAAAGGGACCCCGATCCATCAGGGATACACAATTGATTTTCATTGCACTGTTTTAGCTGCCTTGCAATCAATGTCAAACTATTTCAGTCCAGGTAGGACAAACTATCCTCAACTTTAACACTGAAGGGCATGATCCACTCAGCCTCCCTCTCAGGATTATAACAACATGGAATTATACTGTATCTGAAGAACTGCGCTCTAGTCCACAAAAGTTTATGCTGGAATAAAGTTTTCTTAGTTTTTACAGAGCCACACAATTCCTGTCTACTATCACTGTTGAAGGTACTGGATTTATTTGGTGTATTGTTTATCCCAACCTTCTTTCAAGGAATTTGCAGCAGTGTACAATGGTACCCCCATTTTATCCTCACAGCTCCTCTGAGAGGTAGGTTAGTATCCTACAAGGGTTTGTATCCTTAGTAAACATTCTTTCTCCCTTTATTTCTGAGACCGCATTCTGAGCATGCTCTTCCTTCTTAACTTAAAGTATGGCAGTCCTTATTTTTAAACATTCTAGGTGCTTGAGAATACAGTGAGCTCCAAAAATAAGTCCTTGTTTCACATCCGTCTGAATTAATGTACAGCGTTCCTAACTGGCATTGCCAACTCTAGCCTGGGAGTTCCTGGAGGTTTGGGTGGGGGGGGTCTCAATGGTATATAGTGCCATGGAGTCCACCCTCCAAAGCCGCTATTTTGTCTAGAAGAATGAATCTCTGTCACCTGGGGAATAAGAAGCAATATGGGGAAATCTCTAGGCATCATCTGGAGGTTGGCAACCCTAGGTTCTATCATCAACTGTTTACGTGAGTCAGCCCTACCCCACCTTCCTGAGTAGATATAAATTACCTGCCTACCATTTTCTCACCTTGACACAGAGAGTACTCCATCTTTCTGTGTTATACCTCTGAGGATGCCAGTCACTACAATGCCAAGACCAGGGCCATACAGCCCGGAAAATCCACAACAACTAATGAACTCTGGCCGTGAAAGCCTTCGACAACATATATTACCTTTGTTGGTAAATAAAGAAGGGGTGACAGAGCAATCTCTCCCTGTAGAAGGTCTTTTTCAAAATGGATGAATAAAGAAGTTGTTGTTCTGTTACTGAAGCTTTGAGGTGCATACAGCCCTGTAGCTAGACAATTTTCATTGGGGGGCACTGGATGGAGGAGGGATGGAGGAGAAAAAAGAATGGAGGTGCCCAGGGCTTTTTTTTTTTTTAGAAGAAGCCCAGCAGGAACTCATTAGCATAGTAGGCCACACCCAACAGCAGAAATTCATTGGCATATTAGGCCAATTAGTTTAAATTGGCTTCCCTTGGCATACCCAGGCACCCTGCGGCTGCGGGGAGCTCGGGCAAGCCGGCCCTTGGACAGGCTGGGGAAGGCATGGAGAGGTATTTAAATGCCTCCCTCCCCAACCCTTCCCCCCCCCCCCCCCCCTGGGAGTCCCGGGGGGGGGGGTGTCGCTCTCCAGGCCTTCCCTCTGTAGCCACGCACGCAGAGGTCTTGGCTGTAGTGGGCGTGGCCAACTCTGAAGCCAGCCGGAACTCCGTTCCTGTGCGTTCCTGGCCAAAAATAGCCCTGGAGGTGCCCAACAGTGAGGGGAGGGAGCGCACAGCAGAGGAAGGGGTATGGCAGGGAGAGACAGGCTATTTAGGATGTACAGAAGTGATCCATTTAAACTCTTCTCAGTCCCATTGTTTGCCAGATTTACAACATGATCCTGTGTAGAGTTAGGGGTTTCAGGAGTCTTACACTGGAGTAAATCTGTCTGGCATTGGGCACAGGCTTCAGTAGGCACCCTTCACTGGATGCTGTTTGAAATCACTACACCCTTTTGCTTTCCCCGGTTTTATTTCGGTCAGCGGTGGGCAGTGAAAGGAAGGAAAGGACGAAATCTGGTTTGCTTCAGCCTTCCACAGAGGGAGAAAGAGCTGGAGGGGGAATAAAATGTTCCCATCCGTGGTGAGGATAGACTAGGGTCAAACACCTCCCAAGCCGACCCCTTCCCTGAGCCAGCAGGGACCGGACAAAGGGAACGTTTGCAATGGGCATTTCTGGTTGGAGCTGTGGGAAGGACTTGGGGGGAGGCTGGAGGTGGCCCTCACCCACCACCTTTGCTGTGATTGTGCTTGCCCAGACATTGGCAGTGCATCTTGGGAGAGACGTGGTGCTTTCAGCCTTGCTGCCCAGCCCCCCCCCCCCAGTGCCAAGGCTGCAGTGAGGCCTGGGAACCACACAGGAAGCCGCTCCAGCCCTGCTGGTCACTGCACAGCAGCCACAGTGAGTGAGTGAAGGGGTGGAGCAGCCACAGTTGAACAGAGAGTGCAGGGTAGGGCAGGCTCTCAGAGTCGTGCGAATTTGGGAGGGGGCATTGCCCCGTAGGTCCCACGTCAAGCTACAGCCTTGGGTGTACACTTCTTGGTGAGAGGCCAGATACATAACATGGTGTCAGAACTAAAGGCAAACTGAAAAGTGGACTGAACCGAATGGAGTTCAGCACCAGGCAAGTATTCCCTATGCACTTTGAACATGGGAATATAGCTGAGAATTGGGCCCAGTGGAGGGAAGTTATGAAGCTGATATTTGCAGACCCAGAGGCAGACAAGTGGTATGATGAACAGAAGGCTGCACAGTTTCAAATCGGCATTGGGCAGAAAGATATCTGTAGGGACTGGAGTGCTAGTGGTGAAATATCAGCAGAAGACAGAAAGAAAAAAGTCTCCATACTCTGTAAGTTATTTTATGAAAGGCATCAAGGGATGTCAGAAGCAGTGCAAGAGTGGGGTGACACAGCTCAGGCCTCCTAGCAGGCATCCCCCAACCAGGGCCAATCAGAGGAGGAGCCAGGAAGGCCATTTGGTCTGGGCCTCAAACTCAAAGATGGCCTCAGATTTAGAATATTGTGAATTTGGGGGCATTTGAGACGCTTCACAAGTCGTTTTCCTGAATTTTGTGATGAGAACTGCTGTCAAATCACAGCTGACTCATGGTGACCCCATGTGGTTTTCAAGGCAAGAGGTGTTCACAGTAGGGTTGCCAGGTCCCTTTCACCCGCCGGCAGGGGCACGGGGATAGAATGTTCCGGGAGTGGGAAATGACATTGCCCCCCCCCATTCCTCTCGAAACAGTGACATCACATGTGATGTGCCTGCATCACCCAGAAGTGATGTTGACTCGGCATGTCGGTGGCGACACTCTGTATTTTGGGGGAAACTCTATGGTAAAATCAGCATCAAACCATAGAGTTTTGCCCAAAAGCCAGAGTGTTCCCCCCCCCCCCCAACGTCATCAGCGTTACTTCCAGGTGATGCAGGCACATCACACCGGGAGTGCACAAAATCAGGGAATTCCCCTGCCCCCACCAGGCAAATGGCAACCCAAGTTCAGAGGTGGTTTGCCATTGCCTGCCTCTGCATCACGACCCTGGTATTCCTTGGAGGTTTCCCATCCAAATTCTGGCCAGGGCCTACTCTGCTTAGCTTCCAAGATCTGATGAGATCAGGCTAGCCTGGGCTATCCCAGGCAGGACTTATGCAGACTATGCATCACCATTTAAAATTTTCATTTTGGGTAGAGGCCCCAGAAGCTTAAAGTGGGACAGGCCCCTCTGGGCCTCTGACAGTGCCTGCTCCAACCACAATTCTGCCAGCTGGGATACTGTAAACTGGGGGTGTCGAACTCATTTGTTACAAGGGCCAGATCTGACATAAATGAGACCTTGTTGGGCCAGGCCATGTGTGTCATAAAATGTAATGCCAGGTAGCAGAGTTATAAACTTTATAAAGGACACAAAGGTTTTTTTTTAACTTAAAATAAAAACATGCTTAAAACATTAGCACTCTTGCAATATTTTGTTTATTTAACAGTGTCTGATAACTGACACCTCTTGCTCTGAATTATTAAATCAAAATGTCTGTGCTGTTGCAATTTTGAGTATGCTGTTCAGGTGTGTATCTGTAACCTGCAAACCTACAATGACACAGGAGCAACAGAACTGGAAGAGGAAGCAGAAGACAGCCAGTTCCACTGCGGGCCTGATAGAAGCCCTCCGGGGGCCTAATCCGGCCCCCGGGCCGCATGTTTGACACCCCTGCCGTAAACTGTTAGGAGCTCAAGCAGACTAATTCCCCTCCCCCCTTCCCTGTACTTGATGTTCAGCTACCTACAATATTCTGTCTGGAGGGCACAATCAGTCATCGGCAGGTTATTTTTTGTCCTTACCTTGTATGCAGGTGTCCCCATGTTGCTGCCCTCCTGTTAGCACTGACAGCTCACTCCCTTCCGAGTGACAGGCTTGCAGACTTGAACTAGCAATCATACATTTCATCAGTTTGTATATCGCTTAGCACAGTATGTTCTTGGTCGGGGCATTAAGGAACTACTTTAAATAGTATCAGCAGCAGTTAAGTGAATGGGGTGGCAGCCTCTTGCTCTCTCTCTCTTTTTAAAAAAGATGGCTCTGTTTATTGTCAGCTGTTCTGTAGTGGCTAATCCCCGTTCCCGACCACTGTGCTCTTTTAAAATCAGCTGTGCAGGCCAGAGCTGCATGCCTTGCCCACAAAGAGCATGTGTCTCAAGGAACGGGATAATAACAAGCAGTAAGCCTCTTCCCTCTGTTTTCCCCATTTACTATTAATGTGTGCAATATAAGCACGAGCACTGCATTTTTGCTATTTTTTTAAAAAGTAGAGATGGATAAATCTGGTAGAGGAATTTCAATTGATTAATATTCAAAATCATGTAATCATATTCTCATAGTTATTAACTTTGTATAGTTACATATTTACTAATGATATGATAGTATAAATCTTGTATAAAGATAAGAAAAATGTGTTTTTTTACTCCTTTCTTCCCTTATGTTCCTTGCTTATATGCTTTCTTGCCTAAC